TTAATCCAATTGAATTAGCGATCGATAATAACGCTAATTAGATAGGGAAAATTAGATAAATATGAATCTATCGGTATAGAATCACTTTAGATTCGTAGATTCGGTTATATACCGAGGATTAACCTTTGATAAAGACGAGGATTGGTATTGAAGAAGAAGAAGTTAAACTCGACAAAACCAACTTTCTACTTTCCTTTATTCTGAAAACCGAGTTGGGACTAACAGCATTAGCAAGATTGGCGAGTTTCTTGAAACTCGTGTAACTGAGCTACCCTTTCACAGATGGCGATACACCTAGCTTGCGATAACTTTCATCCTTTGATATCGGTAAAGAGGATGCTATAAAACAAACCGATTCTAAAATTAACGATCACAATCAACCAATCGTTAAACAATATTCGAATCGATTTTCCAGAAAATTTGAAAAAAATCGAGCATCATTGTTCCGTTTTACGAATAAGAATAAAAAAGAACAAAAAAAATAGAGAAGAAAATAGACAATAATTACTGAAGAGAAAGATGAGAGAAAAACCAAACAAAAGTAAAAAAAAAAAAAAAGAACAAATGTAAACGTAATCTCGATCGATCGATTGATAAGATTTTAAAGAAAAGCAAAGGTACACGGAGGAGAAGATGTAAGCACAGTTAAAAGATAGCGAGATCACCGGCGGGGGAACGAGAAGAAAAGAAGGGAAGAGAGGAGCGGAGATGCGGACGCGTGTGGATTCGTTCGGTGGACTGGAGGGTGAATGCCGTCGGCGAGAGGCAGGCGAAAGTAGCAGCGCTAGAACGACAGCAGAGAGACAGAGTCGGAGGGTGAAGGTGGGTCGACCGAGAGAGCGATGGAGCGAGAGAGACAAGGCGGCAGTTAGAGCAGGAGGACGAGAAAGCGAGAGGGTTCGAAACGGTGGATGACGTTGGTCGGGGGTGAAGAGGGAAGGGAAATCGCAACGACGATCAATACCTCGCCACGCCTCGCGCCACCACCTATTCCGCCGAAGCGAAGCTTCGTTTATCCAACCATTTCGTCTCTCGGTCAAGAATGGAACTTCTATGCTTTCTATATCGCGATTATATCGTGTCGCTTTGTTTTTTCAATCATCTCCGCGATTCGGATACATCGATCGTGGAAACGGAACGCAAACGAAAGTTTCGCTTCTTCGAGCGCATTCTTCGTCCATGGTTCCGACGCATAGAAGAACGAAGAGAGTTACTTTTTAACGTGTCTTTATATCCAGATGATCGTCTAATCATTTGTATGAAAATCAACGAACGTCGTTCTAACTTTTCTGTACGTCGAAGGAAAAAAATTTTAAAAACGGTTCGTGTATGCGGAGCAACGCTACAGAGAAGCGGTTAGGTACACATGACCCCGTTCCACGGGGTCACGATACGGGGATGTGCGAAAATCACAAGATGGCAGCACGTTACGGGCACAACACAAACACTCTTGCTTTTGTATATTTTATTTTTTTTTTTTAATAATTTTTACAACATATTAATTATAACATGCTTCTTAAAATATCGATAATGATGGAGAAATTTAATCGGTTATATCAATCTCTCTTTATATGATGCATTCAAATTTTATTGAACGGAACTTACGCGTATTTGGCCTGAATTTCGAGAATCTGTGAGTAAGCATTGATCGGTTTACGATCGAGCGATTGCCACGACGAATGCCAGTGATGTAGTAATATGTATGCTCATAATTCACCTACTTTGGAATCTCATTTAGGATATTGAATAAAAATTGAAAAATTTAACAAACAAGCGTGAAATTAATATTATTTCGAGTAAAATAATAGCATGATACGAAAAAAAGGTAACAAAATAAGAAAGAAAAAAACGCAAAAGGGTCATTGTAGCATAATGTGAAAAAATAATAATACAAAAATAAATATAATGCACAAAAGCGCACAAATATAACATATAAATATAAAAAAATTCAAATATAGAAAAATTCGTTGCTTACAGAACGGATAAAATTAAAATATATCGAGCAATTGTTGACTCGACATTGAAAAGAATATTAGCAAACACTTAGACCGTTTAGCACGTGGTCCATTCAACGAACTGTCTAGAGACTCGATAAGAACATATAAAGAAAACGTCAGCGATATTGTGATATAACGGGAAAAGTAATAAAAGTTGGCAAGTTATCGTTATTGGAAACTTAATCGCACTGATAAAAAAAAAGTAACGTCAAAGAAAATTTTACAAAAATGAATACATTAACGAGTCATAATTTATAAATTAAGATTGAAAGCTAAAACCATGATAAAAAAGAAACAAAAATATTATTAAATTGTAATCGATATCCGATTCATCGACAGAGAAACCGCCAATGCGAGAAAAGGACGAAATTGTGTCCAAGAAATATGATGTTGATCATATTAAATATATATTAGATGATAAATAAACGGATGTATTATAAGTATATAATCTCATTATCATCATTATTGTGTGTCAAAAACTGTTTTTTTTAAGAATTTATTCACGGTATAAAAATAGTAGAATAATTGTTATACGTTGAGACGAAAAAAGGTTTTAAATAATTTATTTTATCGAAAAAATAAACACATCAATAATATGAGTAAATATTAAATTGAATCACTCTCCGTGTTCAAATAAATATTCTTCATGATGAATGACATGTGACGAAGCGAGAAAGTCTAAATACGATCGTCGAACCAAAATTTTTGCACGCCACGCCCACTTTCTACCGAAACCATTTACGCGGTACGTTATGTTTGTAAATTATTATTTTTTTTGTGTTATTCCGAAAAAATAACGTAAAAAATATAAAAAATAAAAAAATCACATTCATTTGGAGAGAGAAAATAAAGATACAACCGGACCGAATCTGTGGTTGGAAAACGCGTGGCGCGTGTCGCTTTGCGCCATGCGTAAACAAGCATACCCGTATGTTTTTGTCACGCTCGTTGAACGATCGTAGACACATATGCGATGACAGTTTTGCTACATAGTAAGAAAGAACAAAGAAACGTGTTTTGCATCGGAAATTGTGTGACAAAGAAGAGAAAATCGAAAAAGTAGCAAAAGCTAGTGTTACTAGTGAATAAAAACATCCGCGAGCAAGCTACGTGGACCGAATTCGAAAAAACAGAAGAAAGAATAAATATACGTTGTCGAAGACGGGGAATGAAAAGGTTAATGACTCTCTCTCGAACACGTCCGCAAGCGAAACATAATACTTTCGATATCGATCGCGAATCGTGATAATCGAGGAAGCCTGATTCGTTCCTTTGAACAAATTACACGGGGCGGATATAAGCATCACGTCGCATCGTGTCCGAGCGATCAGTGGTTGCGAACAAGTGGCCGACACAAAAATAACGCGTGCGACGCGCACCGCGGCTAATGCGCTTTAAGGCAATGTGCTCGCAACAGGAACACCATAAGAGGTTATACTTTGTCGAATTAACTTGCCTTTTTCCTCGAAAGAGACTCTAAACTGAAAAAGATAGTGGCGAGTAAAGGAATAAATATGGAATCGGGAAATCGGTGAAAAAAAAAGAGAGCTCGTATATACGCGATATATAATAAGAGAAAAAAGGAAAGAGCAAAAACGGGAGACTGAATAACGTAGGGGGGAGGGAGGGGAGGACAGAGTGAAAAAGAGACGAAGAACGAGGGCGGAAGGGAGGAGAGAGAGGAGATCGGAAGGTCGGATCGGAGGTTAACCTGACAGTTGACGGGATCGATGGTTCGAGCGAATGTAATGAATTGAGAGCAATAAAAATGAAAAAACCGAACATTATATAATAATTGGTAGTACTTACCTCTGGTGGTGGATGCGTGGCAGCCGAGCACAGTAGTCGGCGACCGTCGCTAATCACTGCGAGTTCACCGAGTTCACCGAGTCTCCCGCACCAAAATATCTTAAAATTTATCACGAAAACATGATCGGATAACTTTGATAGAACGGGTAAGGAAGGAGCTCACTCTCGAAGCACCAACACTCGATGACGTCATTCCACCAGCGGCAACATGGAGCCCGAAACGCGATAGGACGCGGGCTCGAAAGACTCGAGTTAGATCGCGCTCGCTCCAAGCCCTTGAGCTAACCTCAAATTGCTTGGTTGTTACTCGCGAATACGCAAACCCTTCGATCACCACCGGTTGACAACGACCAACTCCAGTACACCGACACCTCTCCTCTTCTCTCCTCACCGCACCTCGCCGTCCCTTACCACTCCTCTCACCGCTTCTCTTTTCTTTTCCTCTTACTCTTTCTCTCGAAGCTGTGCTGCGAGGCACACCGTCCGCGACTAAAATCCGCTTCGCTCCGCTCCTTTTTCCACGTGATTTCCAAACCGCTAACAGAGGGCAGTCGCGTGCGCACCCCCCACGACTGCGATTCCTTCACTGCGGGAAACCAGAGATTCGAAATCGAAGCTGCGCGTTGTGCTACCTCCTCCGCTTCTCCTACAGAGGACGTCGTCGAAGCCGAATAAAGCCGATGCGTCGAGTCGTGTTTCGTCGTCGGGAGTCGTGACGAATCGTGCCGGGTCGTTTTTCGTCGCGTTACGTCGTGTCGTGTCGTGTCGTATCGTGTCGCGTCGCTTCAACAACGCCACCGTCCTACTTTTCCTAACCTCGCTTTCTCTCCTACACCAGTTTCTTTTTACACAAATTTACGACACGAATTTACGTGAAATCGAAGAATCGCAAATCCCATGTTATCGTATATAATTCTTATAAGCCTGTATTCGTGTGTCTCAATTTGCATTCGCGTTCATGTTCGCATTCGCGTTCACCTTGTGCGCAATTTTTTTGTAACTTGACAGAAACAGAACTTTCGTGTCTTTGATTACCGACTAAACGAAACGCTCGATTCGACTGGCTCGAATCGACTTGTTCGCCCACTTTGCTTTGTGAACGCGCGCGCGCGGCTACACGATCGTGGCACGACGAAAATAATCGCTTCCTCGATCGACCGTCGACCACGACCTTGTGCCATTCCGTCGCGCGACGCGCTACTTTGTACTCAGTGATACTCAGTTTCCATCGTTTCGCGAATAATCTCGCATCTCTGGATATATATTCACCGCCCAGATGCCGACATCGCCTTACGTTTCTCGGATTAATCAAATCGACGCTGTTCAACTAGATGAGGAAATTTATAAAGTGCTTAGAAATCAAGCTAAGAAAATTAGCAGTTATCAATCAATAGAAAAGATCGATCAATGGCAACCTGAAATCGATGCAGTTCTCAAATTCTTTATATGGAATTTCTCGCTGCGCCATGGAAAATCAACCTTTGGTCAACAACTGCTCAATTTGCATTACGAAAATATTAACAGCGTAAAATCCGTTCTGTACTTGATTTCAACGATCGTACCTGCGTACGTGCGAGACAAATTTAAAGACAACAGTAAAAATCGTAATTTGAACGTTTTATTCGATCGTATCGAGAATATCGCAAAATTGCTCGAGTTTATCAACTTGTTGATCTTTCTGCATCGAGGGACACAGCCTCGCGTTGTGGAATATATTCTCGGAATCGTAAACTCTTCTACAACAACTCATAAACCCAGGAATATCGGATATTCGTATATGACAAGAGAATTATTGTGGCATAGTTTAATGGAATTATTTACTATCGGTCTACCTATGATTAATTTCCATTATATAAAGCACACACTGAAGAAATTGTTTACAAAATCAAAATCCGCCAATTTACTACGTACTTTTCCGACTATGAATTTATCTACCAAATGTGCTTATTGCGCCGATACTCCAATTTTACCTGTTCATGCTGGTTGCCAGCATATATTTTGTTATTATTGTTTGAACGCTCATTTTACCGCGATGAATGAATTCCAGTGTTTCGAATGTGGCGCAAGACTCTACGTTGGTGATATAAAAACGTACGAACCGAATGCATTATCTATTTAACTTTTTGACTCATGTGTGTACATATATATATATATATATATGTATATCCGTATTTATATCTACATATATTTGTACAAGTATTGTGTTCCTTTTTTTTTTATTAAAAATAGCAATACAAAATTTTCTTGATTTGCTTGATACAACGTTTCAATTTATTCGGCGTTTCCTTCGAAACGAATCGATAATGGATCAGGTATACAATACATATATTCGTCGCCTATCGGAATAATTGGATTATCGTATAAAAATATCATGCCGCTTTATAGTAAATCGTTTTCCGTTTCGTAAATCCCGGCAACACGCATTACGTATATCGATCGTTGATTTATCTATTATCGTTTTACTTGCTTAATGGGCGGGGACGTCCTTCTGTTACCTGGCAATACTCGATTAAACGCAAACGAATCGAATCATTCAAGAGGAAAATAATGGACGAAAAATTTTAACACACATATATATATTAGAATTTTTATTTTATTATTTTATTTTATTTTATTTTTTCTTCGTTTTTTTCTTTTCTTTTTTTTTTCTTTTCTTTTTTCTTGAACATCTCAATTCGTTTGCGCTCTAACTCTTGTTGGAATGTTTCTTTTTTTTTATTTTTTTTATTTATTTATTTTTTTCCCTCTTCGATAATACGTGCGTTTTGCGAGCATGCGATCGCCGTTCCAACGATTCCAAAAAAATTTTATCAAATTGCACGTATCAAGGGATGCTATCAAGCCACGCCTATTTCATTGTTTCGTCGAATTTAAAAAAAAAAAAAAAAATACTCGAGCGCGATTTTATCTTGTACGACCTGAGATATTTACATAGATATAAATAATTCTACCGCATCCCGCTAATACTAAGACTCTGTTAAATCGTATAGTATCTCTTGACTTTTTTTCTTTTTATTAGGCACTAATGAAAGCTACATCAAATCACATTGTTAGATAAACAATTCGTATTATTCTTTCTTTTTTTTTTTTTTTTTTTTTTTTGGTCGAAAGAAATACGAGATCGCATCGACAAAGTATACGAGATAAAACGCGTAACGTTACGAAACGAGTCGGAACGTTGCATTCCGTTTTATTCGTTACCTTCCGATAACACGATTCCATTGAATCATATTTCATTTTATTTATTTTTATCGTTTCAATGCGGATTGTGAAAAACATATGATGGTGCATGATCAAATTGCTATCGTGATAGATATATATATACATATACATATACATATATATATATATATATACATATACATTTTTTTTTTTTTACAAAACAACGCATCTTATTAATATTATTATTACGCGTCGCGAATGCACCATCTTCGGTAATATATATATCGACAAATATTATTTATTATTATTCTGCGCGTAGAAGCATGCTCCAGAAAGGCATGTTCGGTCAGTCGAGTGATCCTGTTCTAATTTTTTTTTTTTTTTTTTTTTTTTTTACTATTATTATTACTA